AATCATGCTTGACTATTTTGTAACAACATAGTTTACAAGCATAAAAAGCTAAATAATGCTCATTGCACAATCATACTTGACTATATTTTTTAGATTGTATAATAGGCTAAATCATGCTCATTGCACAATCCTAAATGTAATCACAATGTATCACAGTAAAAGACATAAGGAAAATAGTAAGCAAATAAAGGAAACTGTTGGAAATTTTAGGAGACTGTTGACTCTTGCTTCATTGCACAATCATGCTTGACTATTTTTTGTAACAACATAGTTTACAAGCATAAAAAGCTAAATAATGCTCATTGCACAATCATACTTGACTATATTTTTTAGATTGTAAAATAGGCTAAATCATGCTCATTGCACAATCCTAAATGTAATCACAATGTATCACAATAGAAGATATAAGGAAAGCAGTAATACCTTTGATTCATCCACTGAGATAGGAAGATTAAGAAGATACTGCCGTGATTGTGCAATTGCAATCTCCTCATTAGTAGCAATATTAAAATTACTCTTTTCCATTACCTGCATTGATATGAAGTAGTGAACTTCATACAAAACACCAAAGAAAGCGTATATTGCGACATGGTTGACTACCCAGAGAACATAACGAGAGAAATCATTTAAATTCAAATTTGAATGTGAAGTTAGAGGAAGTTGGATGCATACTAAAGGACACTTGCATTTGTTGGACACTTTTTGATCTCCCAAGCTTTGGTAGGACTTACATGTATGCAATAATCACTCACCAATAGCAACCACGTTCTACTATTTACTTTTACTTTCTGATCTTTGCAAATTTACTTTTCATGTTTTAGAATGGGGAATGATGGTCTTGGAAGCTATAGGAGATTTACTAATATTTTAGTTAGATCAGATGAACTCTTAAAGTTCAATTCAGGCTAATGAGTTCATAATCAATTTCAAGTAATCCAATTAAAAGACCTTTTGTCCTGCCAGAACCCCTAGTCCTTCGAGATAGGCATGCAAACGATGTGTTGCCACCATGCTGCTTGGCAATTTTGCTATTAATGTTATATCATATTAACCTGTTGAATTTTTTTTGATGCACCCTTGGTGTAAATTTGTTTACATGAAACAGGTTTAAAAATATAAATTGTGGACATGTTCATAAAATGAGCCGTACATAAGCACAGTTAAATGTTGGTGATGGTGAAGACAACCCCAGTGAAAGCCGCAAAGAATAAACAAAGATATAGTAATGCAAATAACCTCATATCTATCACTCCTTAAGTGAGAGCATGTATATCAAAGATGCTCAACATGTCATGTATAAGGTTATTTGTGACCTCAAAGTGGCTTCCTCATAATCATCTAACTTTTTCTTTGGAACTACTCAAACTGGTTCACAGGAGTCAGGAACCGAGAGCCACTTTCTTTCAGAGAAAGTAACAATCAAGATTATTATCAATCCTAAATGTAATCACAATGTATCAAAATATGATTATAAAAAATGTTGTAAATTCTTATCACAATGTGGTAGCAGGGATATTTGTTTCTTCAACTTCGTCTTCTGTGCTATCATCGTCTAAGTCGGATTGGGTCGCTTTCATTGTTGGAGAATCCAAACATCGATTTAGCCTTGATCCTATCGCTTCTTCTTCCTGTACCATTCCACATTACAAAAACAATGTTAAGGGATTTCTTCATGTTGAAATGTAGAACATCAAGCGATTTTACCTATTCTTTCGTTAGCATCCATCGATTATGTATAGTTTTCAAGTTTCGATCACCTCTAGGGTTTAGGGGAATCGTTCTCTAAATCAATAAGAATCTTCAATATGTTTTGGATTCGATTTGAAATTTTTATATAAAGAATATTACCGACTTCTCAACGCGCGCTCAATCGGGCTCAATAACTTAAAAAAATTTGACCAATTTGCCCTTTTTTATTATCTCATTAAATGTCATTAATCTAATTTTAGAATCACATTAATTAAGATTCTTTTCAATATTAACCATTGATTATTAAGATGTATGGTTGAGATTGGTTCTCACAGTTACCACAAACAACTCAGTTTTCATTTGATTAAGCCCCTATATATATATATATATAGAGAGAGAGAGAGAGAGAGAGAGAGATTTACCATTTAGTTGGTTTTGATTCCAACCATGGTATAGATTTCAAAGACGGTCATCCAAAATAAGACAACCTTATTAGACAAACCCCATGAATCAACACAAAGACACCAATCCATCTGTTTATACACTTCACTTTGTTCAAATCTTTCAACTTTTCACCAATGTGGGACAACTAAACTCAACCACAATTCACCATTTGAGAATACTCAATTCTCATTATGCTACCTCATCACCACAAGGTTTTACTTTTATAATTCTCATGGTGCCACCTCATCACCTCAAGGTTTTACTTATATATATATATATATAACAATATAATAAAATTAATTTTGCATTATAATTTCTACCATTTGGTTTGTTCAAATCTTTCAATTCTTCACCAATGTGGAATATCTCAAACTCAATTATAATTCAACAACACCTCAATACTCAATTCTCATGATGTCACCTCAAACACTCATGTTGTTCTTTTAATATATACTAGAAGGGTACTCGCGCAATGCAGCGAATTATATCTTGATTTTAATGTTTTGTTTTATATTTTGGGTCTATCAATGTTATAGTGCGATTTTATGTGGTTCTAAGAAAAAAAATGTTTTTATTTTTGAATGAAATATAAATTTGAAGATGTTATAAAATTTTGATAAAAGTAAGCGATATTAATATCAAATTAACTATTTAAAAGTTTTTTTTAATTCAATTTTTATTATGATTTAATTGAATTTTAAAAACGAACTAATTTATTTTTGGTTTAATAAAATAATTTCTTCAAGATAATAATTAATTATTCTGTTAGAACTCAATGATTATCTTAATTATATTTTAGATTTTATATATTAAAATTAATATTTATCATGTATTTGATTATGTTTATCTGTAATTAGTTATACGAATTCAAACATTAAGCTTTAATAAGATGTACTCATGCACATTCTACTTGTAATCTTGAATTTTAAGTAATATGTATTAATAAACTATACTTTATGCATAAAAAATTATTTTTAAAAGTTTTTGTCAAATGTTTTATACAATACTAGAAGGGTACTCATGCAATGTATCAAAACACATCTCAATTTCAATGTTTCATTTTATTTATTTTTATGTCGATATAATACGGTTTTATGTGGTCTTGAGAATGAAATAATTTTTTTTATTTTTTAATAAAATTTTGAAAAAAAAAATTGATCAGCATCAAATTAACCTTTTTAAATTTTTTTTGTTTTTAGTGTAATTTCTTTAATTTAATTTTTTATTATAATTTAATTTAGCTTTAGTAACAAAATAATTTAATTTAGATTTAATAA